CGCTAGAAAAGATCAAGGACAAAGATAAGGTTATGGAGAAAGTGCACAGTACGATTTTGTTGTGCTTGCGTAACGAGGTTCTGCGAGAGGTTGCTGGAGAGACTATGGCGGGTGGGCTGTGGCAGAAGTTAGAGTCCTGGTATATGACGAAATCTCTTGCGAATCGTTTGTATCTAAAAAAGCGGTTGTTTACTCTTCAGATGCACGAAGGGTCGTCTCTAAAAGACCATCTTGACGAGGTAAATAGTATCATCATAGATTTGAATAATATTGATGTGAAGATAGAGGATGAAGAGCACGCTATTATTCTATTGTGTTCTCTACCACCCTTGTATGAGAAATTTGTCTATACAATGATGTATGGCAAAATTGCCTTGTCCATGGAAGACGTGAAGGCAGCTCTGAATTCTAAGGAGTTGCAGAAAAGGGCGTTTGAGGGCAATATAAAAAGTTCGGTAGAGGGGTTATTTGCTAGAGGGAGAACGAATCAGAAGGGAGGGTCTCGAAGCAAAGGTCATTCTAAGTCTAAGAACAAAACGAAGGTGTTTAGATGTTTCGTCGGTCATAAGGAAGGGCACTTCAAAAAGGATTGTCCGGAGCGTAAGAAGGGAAATGTAAAATCCTCTTAAATTGAAAGTGTGGTTGTTGCAGAGGGTAATGATTCAGATGGTGGTAATATTTTTGTTTGTCGGTAGCTCTTGCGATGAGTGGATTCTTGATTCGGGTTGCTCATTTCATGCTTGTCCAAACAGGGACTGGTTTACCTCTTATCGATCTATTGATGGAGGGGAAGTTCTGATGGGGAATGATGCGGCGTGCAAGGTTATAGATATCGGTACAGTTCGAATCAAGATATATGATGGCATAGTGAGAACACTGACTGATGTCAAGCATGTACCAGAACTGAGAAAGAATTTGATTTCCTTGGGTATGCTGGATTCCATCGGGTGCACTTATAAGGCTGGAGGTGGAGTCATTTGGGTTTCCAAGGGTGCTCTTGTGGTGAATAAGAGACTTAAGAAGCATGGTTTATATGCTCTGCAGGGTAACACAATCACGGGTTCAGTTTCTGTATCATCCTTGGATCCAGATTCAGATATTACCAGATTGTGGCATATGCGGCTTGGGCATATGAATGAGAGGGGGATGTATGTTCTGAGTAAGCAGGGTTTGCTTTGTGGTCAGAAAACTAGGAAGCTGGATTTTTGTGAGCATTGTGTCTTCGGGAAGCAGTGCAGAGTGAAGTTCAGTACAGGAATTCACAGGACCAAAGGTACGGTGGATTATATTCATTCTGATCTTTGGGTCCCTCTCAGGTTACTTCACATGGTGGTGGTAGATATATGACGACGTTGATTGATTACTTTTCTCGGAAAGTTTGGGTTTATATTCTGAAGCACAAGAATGGGGCTTTTGTTACATTCAAGCAATGGAAGACCTTGATTGAGAAGCAAACAGGAAAACAGGTCAAGCGCTTGAGGACAGACAATGGCTTGGAATTTTGTGATGGAGAATTTAATGAGTTCTGCAAGACTCACGAGATTATGAAACACCACACAGTGAGGAAGACTCTGCAGCAAAATAAAGTTGCAGAACGGATAAACAAAACGCTATTGGAGAGGGCACGGTGTATGTTGTCCAATGTGGGGTTAGATAAAGCGTTTTGGGCTGAAGTTGTATCTACAGCTAGTTACTTGGTGAACCGATTTCCATCGACTGCTATCGATTGTAAACCTGCAGAGGAAGTATGGTCTGGTTCTCCTACTAGTTACAGTAATTTGAGAATATTTGGGTGTCTAGCGTATGCTCATGTGAATGAGGGGAAGCTTAAACCGAGGGTTAAGAAATGCATGTTTCTTTGTTATCAGCCTAGGGTCAAGGGATACAGATTATGGTGCCCAGAGGCTTCGGGAAAGAAGAAACTTGTTAGCAAGGATGTGACCTTTCATGAGTCTACGATGCTTACTCCGCAGAAGGAGGTAGTTGATTCAGGGAAAGCTCGGGGTGTCATTGAGTAGGTAAAGCATGTAGAGGTTCAGTTACAGGATAGTCCTGTTCGGTAGACTCACAAGCAGGTGCAATTTCGGGCTGAGGGAGATACACAGTTGCAGCAGTATAGTGTGGCTAGAGACAGGCCTAGGAGGGATACTAGGCCACCTGAGAAGTATGGGTTTTCACATGCTGATTTGGTTGATTATGCACTTAGTGTGGCAGAGGATATTAATGAGCCGTGTACTTATCGTGAGCTTATCATAGATGGAGAGTCAGAACAATGGTCTGTCGCCATGAGTGAGGAGATTGAGTCTCCTCATAAGAACCAGACTTGGGAGCTAGTTAAGAAGCCTAAGGGCCAGAAGATTGTAGGCTGTAAATGGGTCTTCAAGACGAAGGAAGGAATTCCAAGGGTGGAAGATGCAAGGTACAAGGCACGCTTAGTGGCGAAGGGCTATACACAGAGGGAAGGGGTGGACTTCAATGAAGTATTTTCTCCTGCGGTGAAACACAGCTCAATCCGGGTGTTACTTGCTATGGTTGCTCTGTCTGACTTGGAGCTTGAGCATCTTGATGTCAAGATTGCTTTCTTGCACGGTGAGTTGGAAGAGCGGATTTATATGCATCAGCCTAAGGGGTTTGAGATTCTGGGAAAGGAATATCCTATTTGCCTACTGAAGAAGTCCTTGTATAGGTTGAAGCAGTCTCCTAGACAGTGGTACAAGTGATTTGACACCTTTATGTTTGGCAATGGCTACTGTAGGAGTAAGTTTGACAGTTGTGTGTATCACAGGAAGCTCTCAGATGGTTCGTATTTGTACTTGTTGTTGTATGTTAATGACATGTTGATAGCTTGCAAGAACATGTTTGAAATCAACAAGTTGAAGGCTCAGCTTAGTGGTGAATTTGAGATGAAGGATCTTGGTGCTACAAAGAGGATATTGGGAATGGAAATTCACAGGGACAAAGGAGGGCAGATTGTATTTGTCATAGAAGAAATACATTGAGAAGGTGCTGGAACGCTTCGGTATGCAGGCACCAAAACTTGTGAATACTCCATTGGCTGCCCATTTTAGACTTTTAGCACGATTGTCACCACAGACCGAGGAGCAGGTGGAGCACATGTCTCGTGTTCCTTATGCTAGTGCAGTTGGTAACCTTATGTATGTTATGGAGTGCACTAGGCCAGACATTTCACATACAGTTAGTGTAGTGAGCAGATACATGGATAGTCCTGGGAAGGTCCATTAACAGGCTGTGAAGTGGATATTACAATACTTGCGAGGCATTGCAGATGTTGGGTTGGTTTATGACAAAGGCAGCAACACGTGAGGGAGTGTTGCTGGATATGTTGATTCGGATTATGCTGGAGATCTTGATAGGAGGAGGTCCTTGATAGGGTATGTTTTCACTCTTTGTGGGAGTGTGATCAGTTGGAAGGCGACTTTGCAGCCCGTAGTTGCATTATCTACTACTGAGGTTGAGTACATGGCAGCTACAGAAGCAGTGAAGGAAGCTATATGGTTGAGAGGCTTGGTCGGTGATTTGGGCTTGCAGCAGAATGATTTGACTGTGTTTTGCGACAACCAGAGTGCCATACATTTGATTGAAAATCAGATGTTCCATGAGAGGACCAAGCACATTGATGTCAGGTTTCACTTCATTAGAGATGTAGTTGCATAGGGTGCTATTGCAGTGAGGAAGATTGGGACAACAGAGAATCCGACAGATATGATGACTAAGGTCATTCCTACACTCAAGTTCAGGCACTATCTGGACTTGAATGGTACATGCAGTTGCTGAGACCCTTAGGGGCATGTGGAGGCGGCGAAAGGAGTAGCTGGATGGAATTTGAGCCAAGGTGGAGATTGTTGGAAATTGTGTCTCAAATTCGTATTCTAATTAGGATTCTGTTTTAGAGTTGTATTCTATTAAGTAATTTCTTATTTGGCAAGTCTTGGCCTAAAAGGAATTGTAATCCTTGTCCAACAAGGAATTATGTTTGAAACTCTATAAATAGGTACACATGTTGTGGGTTGAGACTTAAGAGATTGAGGGAGAGAGACTCTGGAATTCGTACAGAAACAGAGTGAGGGACTGAAATTTTGTAATCTTCGATTTTACACATAGTGAAAACTTTTGCCAGATCCCGACCGTGAACGTAGGCTGTTGCCGAACCACGTACAAATCCTTGTGTTCTTTGTATGGTGTGTTTACTTTTCTGTTGTGATTCTTGATTCAACTTGGGTTCGTTGCATTTGTCATAACACTTCGAATTGATAATGTTATAAGTAATTGTTATAAGCCTTAACAAAGTTGGGTTTGAAATGTGTGTGTGTGTGTGTGTTTGGGCATATGGGCTTAAACTTAAATTTTAAAAATCAAACATATATTGGGCTAATAAACGAGCTAGAGAGTCGAGCTTACAATTCAAGCTCAGCTCGTTTACTAAACGAGCCTGGAAAATGAGCTTGAGCTCGGCTCGTTTTCCAAATGAACGAGCCCGAGCTGTTCATGAACAACTCGGTTCATTTGCAGCCCTAAATACAAGCATTCACCATATATGTATGTAAATTATTTAAATAAAACACAAATTCATTAATATAAACTATCAAATAAAATCAATTATTGACCATATTTTAATATCACTAGTGTTTCAAACCATGCGCTTGATGATGTTTCCTAGATTAGAAGCCTGGTGCATGTCTTAGTTGTTTTTGTTGTACATGGCCCTAATGATTGAATTTTGTGTAAAATTATATAAGAAAAGCGTATCAAATTTTATGTGAAAATGTAATAACTGCTTCTTAAATATTGCGCTATTTCTTAAAGATGTGATGATATTCCATGGACAAAATAGCCGTTTTTGATAGAAGTATTATTTTATTTTATTTTTTTGTTGTTACAACTAGATCTTCTTGTCTCTTTGTTCACCATACAGTTGTTGAAGAACTTCATGGAATTTCCTATGCAAATTAATTAATATCTGTAGTTTGTTTTACTTTCAGATTAATCTTGGAATTTATATGAAAGATGTTAGCACAGAGCTCTCTGTCTTGGTCGATAGATCTGTGGGGGGATCCAGCATTAGGGATGGGCAATTGGAGCTGATGCTCCATAGGTTTGTTCTTCCCTTTACATTGCTTTTTGTGCCCCAAATATTTTTCTGTTAAATATTATGTTACCAAATAATAGAGATCATGATAATTGGTATCAGCAATTCACAAAGTTTTAAAATAGATATATTGGATTTTTCCGTTGCGTAGGAGATTGCTTCGTGATGATTCTAGAGGTGTTGCAGAGGCACTAAACGAAACAGTTTGTGTGCTTGATGAATGCAAGGGATTAACTGTAAGCATAATCAAACCATCAACACTTGGTACCATATTCCTGTGTAGCCTACATTTTCTTATATTTGCTGAATTTTAAAACAGTTGTCTGCATTACTGTAGCCTACCGTTTTTTATATTTGCTGAATTTTACATTCATTTTGTATTTAGGCTACATTTCTGTGTTCGGGTGTGCTCTTTGAAAAATAATAACGCTGTTCAATCTACACTGACGCTCACAAATCTCACTTTTACATTTATCTATCTGAAACACTCATCTCTTCATAAGTTTTGCACTGACTGGTGGTGCCACTGGGACATTTCGCTATGTGTGTTCCTGTTGCATGTGATTTCTTATACTTCATGGTCATTCACTTCACATCTGGGCCATGTGCCAGCATTTACATTCAAGATATTAGCCATTCTATTCTTATTGCATATTTATTAATGTGAAATACTTTGCATTACCAATCATATGAACTTAAGTCTTTTGCAACAGTCATATCTAATTTGCTTGATTGTCATACTTATAGATCCAAGGAAAGTATTATCTCAGAATTGATCCCCTAGGAGAGGGAGCTAAATGGCGCCGGTCTTCCGGTCAGGAGATATATTCTCCATTTCTCTTAGCCTTCACTGAGCAGGTGACTGAAAGACCTTGAAGTTGTCTTGTTTTTTGAATGGTGAATCAGTTAGATCTTACATCATTTTAAAAAAAATTATTTTTACAGGATGGGGATAAATGGAGTAACTTTCAAGTATCAAGCTTTTCAGGGATAGACCCTTCCTACAGTTTACCAGAAAATGTTGCAATGATTACCCTCCAGGTATGCATTTGTAAACTTGTAAGGCAACTGTAAAATTGGTTAAGCAACTAATGAATCCCACGGGATAGCTGAGTTGGCACAAGGCATTTGGCCATGACCCAGTGGTCTTGTGATAAACTCCTAGGAATGTTAAGCTTCCGCTTTGGGTTTATTATTTTGAGGGTGATTGTGGGTGTCCGAAGATAGTCCCGTCCGTAAAGGGGGTGGGGACACCCTCCGTTATCCAAAAAAAAAAAAAAAAAAGAGAAGAAGAAGAAGAAAAGAAAAGATAACTATAATTTTTTATTTTTTTTTGGTTTCTTTCCTGCAGGAGCTTGAAGAAGGAAAAGTTCTTCTTCGGTTGGCGCACTTATATGAGGTTTCTCTATCTATTTTTTCCTTCCACATTATGACATAGAAAACCTAGTATCCTCAATTTTATCAACTAAAAGATTTTGGTTCAACCCTAATACCATGTAAATTTCATGGAGGAAATAGAACTATTTTCTGCAAAATTATATTTTACATTTGTATACCAACGGGCCAGTGGCCTAGCGGTATCAGCCTCTTACTTCCCAAAGGGAGGTCAGGGATTCAAGTCTCAGAAGAGACGTGTGTGTCTGAGTACCAACTAGGAAAAATATATATATTTTACATTTGTACGAAAATATCCTCAGTTGCACAACCTTTTGGTCTTTGCGTCATTATTTTTGGTCCAAGTCTTGCAAACAGTCTGAATAATTCATATATATCCTTATGGCTTTGGGTTAGACCTATTTCATTTTCAGTGCTAACTAGGAGGTATGCTGGCCTCTTTGAGCATCTTAGTGATCCTTTTGGACACGTGCAGTTCTTCATCCTATATGAATCAAGCAAGTACTAGGGTAAATCATTGTGCCAGAGGGACATGACGAAATCTCCAGACCTCCGCAACCTGGAGCTGTGTACTTCCTATCTCAGGGGTGGCTAAACCTACAGTTGTCTTCGGATCTCTTGTGATCCCTCTCTGTGTAGGTTCCATGCCAGTGACCATCTATTAGTTGTTTTCTGTGGCAGCTCAGCATGGAGGCTTTCTTCTAGAACTTTTTTTAAAATTAATTTCATTGTTTATCTTTTGTGCTACCATAATCCTTTTTGTCAATTCCGTTTATTCAATTCTCAACTTTGTTCAACTCAGCAAGCCTTTGTCCTACGCAACCTGAAGCAGTGTTCATCCTATCTCGGGGTGGCTAAACCTACGGTTGTCTTCGAATCTCTTGTGATCCCTCTCTCTGTAGGTTCCATGCCAGTGACCATCATCTATTAGTTGTTTTCTGTGACAGCTCAGCATGGAGGCTTTCTTCTAGATACTTTTTTAAAAATTAATTTCATTGTTTATCTTTTGTGTTACCATAATCCTTTTGTCAATTCCGTTTATTCAATCCTCAACTTTGTTCAACTCAGCAAGCCTTTGTCCTAACTAGTTAGATTCAGCCACATCTATCATCATCTCCAGTTGGCATTTCTGTAAAGCCATATCCCTAGGTTGAATCGGAGGCAATCTGGTCCTCCTTCATGGCCTCAATCCATGTTCTTTTTGGATAGTCAATTCTCTAGCAGTTCCACATTTGTAATCAAAATGATTTTGCTTGGTTGGTTAAGTTTCAAGGTATTATAGCAACACATTTCGTGAATTTGCTCCCTTTAACATATTTTTTCAAAGATTCACTTTAATGAGAGGAATATTTTGGCCAATATGGGCTGAAGTTCCTCCCTATGTTCTTAACTTCTGATTAGGAAACCAACAAGACTAACAAATCATTTATATTGTTGCTATTGTATCATTTGATAATGCTTCTTGTTATTTGAATATGTAATTCTGGTGGGCGTTAGGTGAACTTTGATTTTATTTTTAAAATGTCCATTTGGCATCGGGGTGTTTCTTATTTATTACCAATTGTTCCTAAACTTATGCACTATAGTGACTAATTTCACCATAAAAAAATTCATTGGTGACAAAAATTTTATTTTTCCAATCCAGAGTCATGTGTTCTGAACCTCTCTTTTGGTATGTGATTCTAGATTGGAGAGGACAAGGATCTCTCAGTCATGGCAAGCATAGAATTGAAAAAATTGTTCACAGATAAGAAGGTAGAAGCAATATGCACCATGATATATCATTCCTTAATTATCATCTGCTTTACCTCAACTGTTTAACCATTCTTTTTTTCCCCGGGCTTTTAGATAAGTAAAATTACAGAAATGAGCTTATCTGCTAATCAAGAAAGACTAGAGATGGAGAAGAAAAGATTGGTTTGGAAAGTAGAAAGCTCCCATGATGAGCCCAGTATATTGAGAGGAGGCCCTGTAGATCCCATAAAGTTGGTGGTGGAACTTGCCCCAATGGAAATTCGGACCTTCGTTCTTGAATTCACTAACAAAATTGTCCACTACAATTAAGGTAAGAAACTTCAATGATTCCTCAACAAATTTCAAAAAGCATTGTTTTGATTGATGTATTGGTTTATTTTTCAGGTAAGCTGATTGCAGATGGGTTAATGAATTTAATCCGTTAGCTGTGTTAAATTTATGATGCAAAAATATAAGATGTAAAATAAGAAGATGGAAGAGAGAAAGATAGAGAAGTATATACATGGTTCGGCACTAAGGCCTACATCCATCGATCAAGAGCCACTGAGGCTACATTTTCCCTTATTACTTTCTTGATGCGTTGTATTGATACACAATATATTGGAAATAAAGTTGACAAAATGAATAAATCAGGGAGACGATATTCGCACTTCACTTTTCTCCAATTGCACTATATTTATCATTTTCTTTTAAAGAAAATGACAAAAAAGTCCTTGAATTCATTAATGCACAATTCCTTAATTTATAATGTCATAACTACCCTTTATACAACTTTAATTTTTTTTTTTTACCTTCTTTACTTTCTTTACTATTTTTTTCCTTTCTTTTTGTTTTTCGGAGGTCCTCCCGAAGAAAATAATTTATTCTATACTAATAATTTTATTTTGGTAGTCAAAAGGGATAATTTAGTCCAACTTTTTTTTTTTTTTTTTACAATCGAAAGAGATTTATTCAACAAAATTGACTTTTTTTTTTATTTTTTATTTTTATTTTTTCAAAAGAGGTAACTTTACCTTTTGGTAATTTTTTATGGGTCATGTCAAATGAAATCATTTATTTGATAAAAATAACCTTTTTTAATTTTTGGGTCTTATCGAAAAAGATAATTTATTCAATAGACATATATATATTTTTAATCATCTTCCTTTTGTATTTTTTATTTTTTTATTTTTTTTTTTGGATCTTAAAAACAGAGATAATTTATTCAATAAATATATTTTTTTGGGATTTTTTTTTCTTCATGTAAAAAGAGAGAATTGTTTAAATGGTTACTTTTTTATTTTTTTTTTTATCCGGTCAAAAGAGGCCATTTATTCAACATAACAATTTTTTTTTTTGGTCCCTTAAAAAAAAATTATTCAATTTTTATTTTATTTTATTTGTGCTATCAAAAGATGCTTAAAATATTAAATGTTAGAGATAAAAGAGAGAAAATATGAAAGGGCAATTGTGTCATTTAAAAAGTAATAATTATTTATTTGTAAATGTAAGGTTAAAATTATCATTTCATTTAAGATTGTAGTGCGAATGTTGAAAAGTAGAGTGCAGATATCGCATAAATCAAGGAGTAAATCAAGAAGGAAAGAAATAAAAATGAATATAATATATTATACATATATATATAAGGAAATAAGGGAGAATGACACATAATATAATACACACACACACACATATATATATATATATATAAAATTTTGGTTTGTGGCTTTTTTCTTTTGTTGATGATGTGGTGGTTGTGATGTCTCAAGCTATTGTCAAGTTGCAGTTCTTTAAAAATGAATTTTACAAGAGTTTGAGGATTAGTTATAGTATGGCAATTAGCAAGGAAATGAATCCTTTATTTTTTTCCCAAAAGAATAGTACTATCTCTAAAATCTTGCAAAAAAGGGGAAATTTTTTCCAATTAAATGTTTAGAAGAGTTGTGAGTTCCCACATTGTCCAGAAGGAAGAAGTTGCCGACACTTGTAAGGGGAAGTCACTAGTGTAGATGCATTGGCGTCCGTATGGGAAGATATAAGGAAGAGGGGAGGAGGAAAAATACGAAGGAAGAAACAAACTTCTTTCCTTTGGTAGGGAGGACTCAATGAAAGAAGAAAAAAGAGGATGGATGGGTCATTTTTATTTCTTCACAAATTTAATCCCAATTAAGGCTATTATACATGTTTTTAAATTACAAAACTTTCTCTCTCTCCTAATATTGTCTTATTATCCTTTCTTTTATCCAACCAAATTTTTTCCTATGGATATTTCATCAAGGACAATACTTGTGTCCAACCGAGGTTGGATGATGAAGTTCATCCACCTTGGGTAGGTGCCCAATCAGTGCATGACAAGTGTCCATCAATAGTATTGGATTTAAGTTGCGTATTGTTAGAGTTATAATAACTATTAATAACGTTAACAGTGATTTAGCCCAACGACACATTTAGGTTTATACCTATTGACGAAAAGATCGACGTGACAAAGTTTATAAATATGTAGGTTGTGATTAGCGGAGAGATCAATAAAAGAAGTTATCTTCTACTCTCAGAAAAACTACTGCAATTATATTCTCTCTCTGCAATCTACTCCTACTATATATATATTCTCTATTTCTCTAGGGCAACGTGACATCAAAACTTAGTGAAAGTTTCTCTGTGATCATGTGCATAGGGAACAATTGGAGATGTATCTTGGAATCTTTGGTGGATCGTAATTACCTGCACATAAGGAAGACTTCAAAGGCTTTAGGACAGCGCATTGCGTGCCTCTCCATCTAACAGCCCAGCTCCATCTAACAGCCCAGAACTATATTTCTCTGTTCGGATCTATTTTATATTCTGATACAATTATATTACTTGTTTAATCATTTTTAACTATTAATTGTTTTATTATAATTATTTTCCTATTTTAAAACATTCTTTTCATTCCATAAATAGAAGTATTTTACAATCTGAAAATTAATATTCCTGACAATCTAAAGTCTTTGAAATAAATTGTTGAGTGCTTAGATGTTTTTTCTATTATTTCAATTTGGTAATTTATTATTCACATGCCGTAATTAATATTGATTATGTTGATTTAAGTTATCTACTCTGTTTACTTATCCACTTGGTTTAGATTGTTGCCGTGTATATATATATATTGTTGCTATGAATATATATATATATATTGTTCGCTTATGATTGTTGTCGTATATATAAATATATATATCTGATTGTTTACATATACCTTTTCATATGAACTGATAAATTACTTTAATAAATCGTTACTTTATATAGTTGTTACTGATAGAATCGTTACCCTATAGGAGATTGTTACTTTATAAATTGTTACTTGCAGATTGCATGAATTGTTTCCAATTTAACTAGGTTTTTTTTAGTGGGTAATTTTAAATTAGAAAGAGATTGTATTTTGATTTTATTTTCTCTGAAGATCTCTCATTCCGAAAGTTAAATAGTATTGTTTAATAATAATAATAATAATAATTTGTTTAAATTTTTTTTACCCTGTTTCAAATTTATTGTATATCGTGTTTAGAATACAAATAATTTATTATTGTATGTTTCACTATTACTTGAATTGGAAGATATTATTAAAAAAAAATTAGAATTATATAGTGACATCTTTCTTTTAGTTTCTAACAGATTGATATATCTTGATTTGCCCTTTGTATTTTTGAGGAAACATGAATATGTCTAAACTGGAAGAATGTTAAACCAGAAAAGTTTAGTGGTGTGAATTTTCGAAGGTGGCAAAAACAAATAAAATATTGGTTAACTGTCTTATGACTTACATCTGCCTTAGGAGAATCTCAAGGTAACTTAGAGTTGTCCTCATGGTTAACTCCTGAACAAATTGAATTTCATTGCCACAATAGAATTTTAAGTGCACTATCGGATCACCTTTATGATGTCTATCATTCCACTAGTAGTGCCAAAGACCTTTGGAATGCCTTAGAAGTAGAATATGGAATTGAAGATGTTGGTGTAGAGCGATTTGCTGTCTCAAACTTTAATAACTATTAGATGGTGAAAAATAGAAGAGTTAGTGATCAAATTCATTAATTTCAAGAGCTACTTAGGAAAGTAGAAAGGAAAGAAACTAAGTTAAGTGAGGACTTTAGAGTGTCCTGTCTTATTAAAAAATTACCACCCTCTTGGTCTGATTTCGCTAGGTCTCTTAGACATAAACAAGGAGATCTAACTTTGACCCATGTAATTAATTCACTAAGGGTTGAAGAAAAACATAGGTCAAGTGTCCAAAGTGAAAATGAAAAGACAACTAAAGTAAACTTAGTTGAAAATACAAGTAATTCTAATAACAATAGGAATCGATTTAGACCTAAAGGGAGGAACTTTAAGGGAACAACTAGAAATAACAACCACCACAAACATTTTAATAAGAATGTCCAGAATAATTAGGGTAATAAATTCAAAAATACTAAGGCCAATGAGGATAAACGTTGCTATGTCTGTCGGAGGATCAATCACAAAGTGAGGGATTGCTTTTACAAGAAAACTGAAGTGTACAAGCCCAAACATAAGTCATTGCAAAATCAGAAAGGTTCTAAAGCTCAAGTTAATGTGTTAGTGGATCAAGAAAATTCAAATGAAAATGCACTAAGGTATAAACTCAATCCAACTATTAATTACACTTACCACAACAGAGATTGGTGGTTAGATTCTAGTGCTAAAGTACATGTAAGTTTTGATCGTGATTGCTTTAAAACTTTTCAGAACTCAAGTGGTAAAAGTGTAACTCTAGGGAATGACTCGTTCGCACGTGTACTTGGAATTGGAGATATAGAGCTAAAGATGACTTCTGGAAAGACTTTGATTATCAAGGATGTGCAACATGTTTCTAAAGTGAGCAGAAATCTTATTAGTAGATCGTCCTTAGTACAACAAGGATATAAAGTTGTAATGGAGTCTAATAGAATAGTGATTACTAAGAATAATATTTTTATTGGAAAAGGTTATGTTACCGAAGGTTTGTTTACGATAAATGTAATTTCTGAAGTTAATAAGAATTCTCTTCAAGTTTTTAGCGTTGAATCTTGTGATGTATGGCATGGAAGATTAGGACATGTAAACTTGAAGAAAATTAAAAGATTAATGGATTTAAATTTAATTCCAAAGACTGAGGTTGATTTGAAGCAAAAATGTGAAGTATGTGTTCAAGCAAAGCAACCTAGAAAACATTTTAAGTTTATTAAAAGAAATACCCAATTTTTAGAATTAATTCACAGTGACGTATGTGATTCAAATAGACCTCCAACTAGAGGTGGAAAAAAGTACTTTGTGACATTCATAGATGATTGTTCAAAATATCCTTATGTATATCTAATTAAAACAAAGGATGAGGTGTTTGAAAGATTTAAAGTATACAAAAATGAAGTGGAGAATCAACTAGAGAAGAAAATTAAAAGACTTAGGTTCGATAGAAGATGAGAGTATCAATGGAATGTTCTTGGAACATTCTGTGAAGACAGTGGAATTATACGTGAAGTTGTTGTCCCTTATATACCTCAATCTAATGGTGTGGCACAAAGGAAAATGGGTCTTTGTTGGACATGGTAAATGCTATGTTAACTAGTTCTGGTATATCTGAGAACTTGTGGGGGAAAACAATACTCATTGCATGTTTGATACTTAATAGGGTAACTGTTGGA